CGTAAATTTTGTGTGTGTCGGGGGCGGGGGAGCGGGCGGAATTCTGCCAGGTTTGGGGGAAAAGCATTTCTCGGTGCTGTCAGGAGTTGCTGGGCTGCTGAGGCGTGGGAACACTTGCCTGGCTGACATGACCTTCAGAGCAGGATCGTTAGTGTCCCTGGCATCTCCTTCCTCCCCCCTGTAATTATGGCAGAGCCTTAACCTCACCAACTGTTAGTTGGCAGAGTTTTCCTTTTTTCTGTTCCTTTAAATTAATATGCCTTAAAGTATGCTTGTGATCAACGTAATAAATCAGCCTTAGGAAACTGGATGCTTAAAGAGAAGCTAGAGCTGGAGAAACATAGGCTTTTTGTAAATAATGAGGGAAAACTTTTAGAATCCCTTTTGTTCACTAAAAAGGGCAAATCTTAAAATATCATTTAACTTCAGGAAATATATGGTACAAGGGAAAACTATAGTAGTAGTTCCTGGTTTTAATTGCTTTTTTTGGTGTTCCCATAAGCTTTCAAAAGTCTGAAAGAACCAGGCTAGAGGAAGATACACATTAGTCTGCAGAAATGGAACTTGTTTATATAACTACTTGTTTTAAAACATCACATTAATTAGACCAACTATTTAAACAAATAAATCATGTGACATCTGCTCTCAGTATACACAGTATGTAATTTCTCTACTAGTTTTTATCCTTTTTGTTGGCAGCATAAAATAATTCAACATTTTATAAAACTCTGCTGGGGCTTGTGAGACCTGGTAGAAAAAGATGTTGGGGTATAAATGAACAGGTCTAGCTAATGAGTTGTGAAGATCCAGTACTCCGGTTTTGATTATGGATGTGGCTAGGTTTTTTTTTTTTTTGTTTTTCCACATGCCTGTTTTCATTCAGCCGTGAGAAACTGTATGTAATGCTTGTGTCCTAAGTATATTGGTATCTCCAGACAGAAAGTTGCTATGTTTTTTTCCCCTGTTCTGTGTAAGACAGCACTTAAAAAACCAATTTCAGAAAGAAAGTAGTTCAAGATATTTATTCTGTTTAAAATATATGCCATCAATAAATTAGTTTTTTTAAATATATAGTGTGTATTTTAGTGTGTGTGTGTGTCTTTCAGGAGTTTGATTCCTGAAGTAAGGAGTTAGCTCTTGTAGTTACAAAAAGAAACTTCATTCCCTTAAATATACTGATGATCATAACTTTGTACAGTAAAAGTGACCTCAGGGGGACTTTATTCACTAGCAAGCAACCATCACAAGGCTTTTGCACTGCTTAGATCTCAAAGTGGCTGTTAACCATGGACAAAGCCTTGGCCGGTAGAAAAGAGTTACCATGCTCATGGAGACTATTTAAATAGAGTCTCCATACTAGGATTAATATAAAGGCTTGCCTGATACCAAAGTGGCATGAGTTTAACCTAAAATATTATGAAGAACAAGTTAGTTTTTCAAGTAAAGTCTGACTCTGATTTAGTTTAACAATCCTGAGTGGCTTAAAACCAAAATAAATCTTGTTGCACATGCATTTACTTACTTAAGTTTCACAGGCTATGCAAGACAAGGTGGTTTTTTTTTTTTTTTTTGCCTCAATCTCACAATTATCATTTTCTTTACTAGTAGTATCATACCTGCTGCTCAACATCTTCCGAGATTAGCCTTTCAGCTAGTAGGAAGACAAAAATACTTCTGTGAACTTATTGTGTATTACAGAAGAGCCTACACTGCCTCATGTGAAACACTGAAAGAAAGCATACTCAGAGCATAGCTAAAAACTCCAGCCAGAGGCATTCTGAGAAGGCTAGGATTCCACAAATGGCTGAATTAACAGCTTGACAAGTATTTAATATCCAAACTATACCCTGTTGGTTTACATCATCCTGAAAACCTGTTTGAATTCATGTCTTGAAGAAAAAGCCATAAAATAGTTTGATTAAAAAGATGCATTATTTCAATTCTGAAAATAATAGGCTAAGTTATGATATCCTTAGTAATCATGACTGTCCACTTCCTTAGTAAGTAGCACCATTGTTTTTGATAGAGCTGCTTAGAAGAAAAGCTTTGATGCTGTGTAAGTGGGAACATTAATTCACACAACTACTGCTGAATGTGTACTGATGCTACAATTAAATTATTATAATTTCTGGTTTAAATCTTGTGTGTATGTGTACTCATTTTCAGACTGCTGTGAGTAATGAGAGAATCTCTGGTCACAATTCCCTTACTGGACATGTTTACAGAGGTGTGGAGACTTTGGGAAAGGAGCTTTTCATGTATTTTGGTCAGACAGCTTTAAGGTAAGAGGTGTGGGGAGAAAAAAGTTCCCTATGCATTTAAATTACACGTTTTCAGAGGGTCTTCCTGTTCTCTTATCGGTTCCACAGATTTGAAAGTTAGTGTTACAGAGAAACTTCTCTGCAGCTGCCTTTAAGTGCTAGGAATACTAAATAGTGGCTTAATTTGTTTGACACAACTCACTGTTTTATTCTGAGTTTAAGATCTCATATAAAGGTACCTGAAAAAGACGGATGTTCCTTGAAATGCTTCATTTTAAACAGGAAATTGCACTATCTAAGGACAGAACTCATAGAAATGCATACAGTTACAGTTGCTTAGCATCATCCATCACAAACTGTATTTGCAATTACACTTAGCTTTCCTTAAATACTGTCTGTACTTAAACTATCTGTACTTAATTTTTTAATGATTCAGTTGTTCTGACAATAAGTTTGTGTGAGGGAAAACTGCCAAACTTAAAAATAGTCTGTGTGTATGCGTCTATGCTGCCTTTCTTGCTTTAAACACTGTAACACCTCCTTGCTTTGGAACCATGGTTTGAAATTTGGCATGTGAATGGTTTGGGGATCACAAAGGCATCTCTTAGTTTTCTAGTGAAACTATGGCTCAGAGACAAATGTTAAAACTGTGCCAAATCGTTGTTTGTTCACGCTTTGCAGAGCTTAGTAGAGATTTGTTGGCATGTTTATTATTATCATATATGCTTGAGCTCCTTGGAGATATCCTCATGCTAGCTACCAAGGTCTTTTTCTAAATCTAGTTTTTTGCTTTCTAGTTCAACATATTTCTGTACTGTAAGTGTCAATAAAAACAATCTAACAAGTGTGCAGTGTAATGGCCTATTAAAAAAAAATTGTTCTTTACAGTAATTACTATAACATAAATAGGTGAGGCTCTTATATTCAATAGGTAATGCTTACATTTAATGCTTTTCTTTCACCCTCCCACTTACAACATAATTATACACCTTTAAAAAGAAAACGGTGTCACTTCTACATTCAAGGTAGTTGTCGCTTAGTGACTGATCTTGAACAAAGGTGCCAGGTCATGATTTTTCTTAGTTTAAAATTGATAATGTCAACAAGTATCTTACAGTTTGGTGACATGATATATTTCCAGTGGCACTGCTCTTGTGGGAGAGTGATGGCACTGAAAATGCTTGGCTGAGAATAGAACAGTTTACAGTGGTTGCACTCTGGATAAGTAAAGGCAGTGATATATTAGTAATTACTTGGGGTAGACTGATCTCTGGTAGCAGGGGGCTACTGGTTATCAGACAGCATCATATGCTTATTTCTCCAAGTGTTAGAGAAATGCAACGTAGGGAGTTGATTGAGGAAAAAGTATATACATCTCACTTTAATACAGAGAGTAACCCTTGAAAAGGTACATCTTTTATTTAAAATAAAAAGTGATAAAGGATGGAAGCAGTAAAATAAAAAGCCCTAGACACAAGATCCCATTAAAAGTCTCTGGGAATGAAAGAAAAGTTTACAAACTATTAAGAGTCCAAACTCCCTACAGCTGTTTACTTTGGATTTTTTAATCTCTTGAGACAACTGTTGGCATATCAGTTAAAACATTCTAAAAACTCTTCATTTAAGTCCTTCCTAAAGAATATTAGATTAGGGCCTGATGGCTGAAGAAACCAAGATTGCCCTGTAGGTGAATTCTTAGAGCAACTTTAGGACATTTAGCTCTTCTTATTAAGAACAGTATCTGTGGGGGAAAAAGGTAGTGAGAACTACAGTTTCCACTATTCCCTCTATGGTTTTGTAGTGGGAACCACCAAAGTTGCCTGACAGTTCAGTACCAAGGGATTGGGTGTCCCCTGGGAACTTAGCTGAGCATCACCTTTTTAGTTACTAAGGTAAAGAAACAAAATGTAACCCAAGTTCTTCTTTTAAACAGAGGTATACCAGTGGTCTTCCCCTGGTCAAGTTCCTGCTCTGTAGCTTAAAGAAGAGGTTAAATGTAAATAAATATTTGACTAAAAATATCTAAAGTACATAAATGTGCTAACAGTAAAAAGATACTATAAAATAGCACTTCTGGTTTTTTTTGGTTTGTTTTTAACCCTAATTTTAGGTAAAATTATAGATGATTATAGTAAAGTTGGCAGTTTAAGCTGAATCACTAACAGTACTTTGCAAAATAGCATTAGGTGACCCTTTCTCAGGGAGTAACGAGGTGCTAGTCTTACAAGCACACTTCAGTGCTTTATACAACAATCATACAAGTAACTACTAGGACAGAACTGTCTGTATTTTAAAGGTACCCATACCTGTGAAGGATAGGATTATTGTCCTAATCAGTTTCTCTTGCTTTGTATGGGGCTTTCTTAAACAGAAGAAAAAGCAATTTTTTTAAAAAAAAAGATAGAAGCCAGTTATAAAGTTTTCTAAAAA